AAATCCCTCAGCAAATTATTGAGACCAATGGCGTAAATATTTTCAGAGTTTATTTCCACAGAGAGTGAAATTCATAATAAAAAGTCTCAAACTTTTGATCCTTTAGCAAATAAATTCAAAAACAAGTTATGAGATGGCTTGAATATTTTTTTTCTCCACTTGATTACTCTAAATCACCTTAATAATAACCTAATTATTATTTATATCGTATCATAACTGTACATTCAAGTTCAAAATAATACGTTTCAAATCAATACCAATTAATAAAAGAAAAATGGACCATTAAGAGTAAATTCAGCAAAAAAAAACTTCAATCTTTTTTGTCATACATAGGTTTTAGTACTTTTTCATAAAATTTTGGAAAAAAACTGGTACACTCTGTTCATCCGTCCCTTCGTCTGCCTGTCTGTCTTACAGTCCAGTTGTTTTTTAGAAAATTTCTACAGATAAAAGATAAAAGGTGAAATTTTGCATACTAACTGCTACGAATTGCTTCTATTATCCCAAATAGTGTAGTAAAATATTAAAATTCCAAAATTTTTGCTAAAGTCTAACAATTTTACATTACTCCATCTAATATGTAACTCCATTTTTTCAAATTTTTAACAGTATTTTTCGAGAAGATGGTAATCTGTAGAAGTTTTTTACCATATTCTAGAGATTTATGATTTATTTCGTTAAAGGAAATTTTTTTTCCAATTAAATTTTCCCTTATAATAATTATCACATTTTTGTAAAAACAAAAAGCTAACCGTTAGTGTCCTGTCTTCAAACAATTAAATTATTTTTCCTAACTCATTTTATTAACGTTCTAACTCGACAATAAGTTAATATCTAAACTGAACTCGTCATTTATTATTTTGAAAATAACAGATGTTGCATACTTTTCGAAGAAAATTTTTTCTCCACAAGGTATGCAATATTTTTTTTCATAATAAATTCTTTTGGTCTTCCAATAAAATAATTTAAGGAGACTAATTCTTTAAAAAAGTGTTGCTCAAAGGAAAAGTGCTACTTTACAAACTATTGATTCGGTCCAAATTTATTATTGAAAAGATTCACTAATTTTAGTACCTTCCATTATAGTACCGTCAATTCACAGTCGATAAAAAAATATTATACAGTATATACCGTTATAACAAAATTCTACAATTTTATTTGTGATTTAACTTTCTTATGTTTCATTATTTTTTTTTCATATCGGAAAATTACTTGATTACCACCAATACATAGATTTGATTGTCACAAAGTCAATTTTTTTTTTTGTCGAATACTTTTTACAATCTTTTGATTATAAAAGATTGTATAAATACAACTGTATATAGAAAAATATTTTATACTTTACTATGACGTAATTGAAAAGGATATAAACTTTGTTATGGTATAAAATTGATCCTTTCACAAAAAAGATAAATATTATATAACAATAATAATGAATGATAAAATTTCTATATATATATATAGATATATATATACATATTATATGTAGAATATTAAATGGCACCAAAGCAAAAATTATTGATTTGAAAGAAAAAGTTGTCACTTATAAACTGGTTCAATATTTTAATTTCCTTTTCTGTTTTTCTTTTTTCGATAATTTCTGATAAACTGAAAACTTTGGCGCCATCATTTTATTATACCCATATATAAGTATTGCATACATATATATATGTATAAGATAATAAAAAGACTTAAAGGATATTAAAACTTTGTTATATTTATATTTTGTTATTCTCCCATGCTGCTATTAAAAAGTTTATTGAGAAATTTTCTTTATTCCATCGTTTGCGTATATTTTGATTTTGAACTAAATCAATTCCTATATCTTCTATCACCGGGGATATTATTTACGTGTACAGTTGTACATGTTTTGTATATTGATTTAACATTGATTGGAGAGAATAATAATGATGAAATGAAACGTGGTGGTGATTTTTTTTTTTAAATTTTAATAATTTCAAAAAACATTATTGTAGATAAAAGATTTTTTGTTTTTTATTAAATAAAGTTAAAATTTTAAGTAAAATTTTTTATAAAATTTTTTTTCGGGTATACACATTTAATTTGAAAATTTTTGAAACCATTACAGAGATAATAAGAATTAATGTTAACATCGTAAGAATTCAACTGGGATTTTTTGAATATTTCTAAAGGAAATTAACTATTATCATAGAATAAATTTTTATAGTATTCAAGGGAAAATGCTTTGTATTCAAATATAATTTTAAAATCCAGATTATAATACGAGTACATACCATATATTTTTATTTAAAACAGAGAAAAAACGAGTAATTTATTCAATTTTCTACAATTTGAATAGTAAATTCAAAAAACTAAACACTAAATTATTAAGCAATGAAATTTTGAAATTAATAAAAACTTTTATTTAAAATTATGTCTTATTTATAGGATATTAATCGGTCAGTGTGAATGTGTTTTCCTATTCGATATTGTTAGAAAACTATACAGCTTCTTCTCATCGAAAAACATTTCCTCCTCATGAAGTTAATTCAGTACCTCTTCAACGTTTGCCAAGACATTAGTAAATCATTAGTTTGAATCCAATTTGAGTACAGCGATTTTTTGAGAGAGAAATAAGTTTTCCTGAAAGGCGCATTTTTGTATGCTTAAAATTTGTTGATTATTTGTAATTACTCGTAAATGTTTCGGCGAATGGTAGGACAGAATAAAGCAAAGTATCTTCTTTTTTTCCTTCAATATAATAGTACCAAAATTTATTATTCTTTCCAAATTTTTATGTTTATTCATTTTTAACATTAATTTCATACATTGAATATTATTTATAAAGCAAATTTCCACGTAATTCAATTGCATACCTTAATTGAAATTTTGCATTTTACAATACTACAGCTATTGATCGGTTCATTGTAAATTAAAGTGTTGTTACCTTTTACAAAAGCAAAAAAAAAACTGAAGTAACAAAATCGTTATTATCATAACTAAGTTAGCAAGTATCAAATGTCATCATATATTTTTACCATAACAAAACCTTTTTAATTCATTTCAAACTATACTCACAAATCTACATAACCAACTAATTCACTTGCTTACATTTTTTGTCTTTTTATTAAATATAAGATATTCGGCGCGAAATATAATCCATTTGCCCTAATAACTTATGTTTTCCTGTTATTTTTTAAACATTATCTTTTTACCTACTTACATATTGTTCGATTTCCTTTACACAATATAATTTTTCATATAAATTTTTATTTTGAATCACTGTTCTTCGTCACTGTTTTGTTCTTTGGCATAATACCTAAAACGGATTCCTTATATTTTATTCTTTTACTAAAATTTTTATTTTTATATTGATTTACAAAAATTAGTATACGATTTTTTGAGTCCACCTAGAAATATAACCCGTTTTCTTGTTGTATTCCAAATGTAATATGGCTTCTTATACAAAAATGTGATATTTTTTTTTTATTATTCAATTTATTGATCGGGTTTATTGGACATAAATATGAAAAAAATAATACAAAACGAAAGAAAATTTTAGTGACAATGTATATGATTTTTCTGTATGCTTCTTGCCGACGTAATACTTGCATTTACACAATGTTGTGCTACAGTTTCACACGTTCATTAGAATTTCATTTTATTGGGGAAATAAAATTATGCATGTACAGTGTATAGTATTTCAAAATAAAAACTACTGAAGCCATTGAAATAAAAATTGAATTTTTATGAGAGAATTTTTCTAATTAATCAAATTTTTGTTAATTAATCATGTAAGGAAAAGAAGAGGGAATGTGATTCATCTAAATCCGATAAAAAAATTATAATAGCTGATTATTTTTATAATTATTTACGGTTCCATGTTATTAATAAAAATCATTTTTCCATTGTTTTAGTTCAAATTTCGGCATAATTGTTTGGAAAATTTGTATTTGTTCCAGTAAAAAATTTAATCAGTCAATTTTCTCTTTGCTTTTTTAACAAACATTTTAAATTAGAAAGTTAATATTTTTTTCTATAAACGTATTGGTTATATTTTTTGTAGTAGCCAAAATATTGTTTCCATCATTACTATTCCTCTTCTTTGAAAAGAATAGTTGTTGATTATCCTTCTCGTCTAGTTCTCAAAGAATTTGAAATGTTTGAGCAATGGTCGAGAAAGGGCAATTATTTAAGTGATTTTAATACATAGGAAATTCAGAATTTGTTTAGTAACTACATAGACAAACGAGAACCTTTCATTATGTTGTGTAAATAAGAATGATCGATAGCTATTGATAACAAGTAGGATTTCCCAAAAAAAAAATTTTAAGTACTTCAGGTTCATTTCTTTATTATTTGCCATTACATTTTTATAATAATTTTCTTGAAAATTATTACAATATATATTCTAAAAATAGTCACGTTTTACAAATCAAAAATTCAAAAAAAAAAAAATAAAAACAATCTTTTTCCATTTAATAAACTCTTCAGAAGACATTTTTTTCCCAATTCTCTCCTGAATACACACATAAAATATTTACCTAATTATAATTTATGAACGTGTTTTATGAATTTTTTAAAAAGATATCAATCAGTTTATAAAGAGATTATCCAAAAAAAATTATATTATCATCACCTTCTTTGTATATTTCAGGCTTAGTTGAACTTTTGACACAATCCTTATTATTCTCTCATTTTATGATATTATTTTCCTTTTGTCCTGTTTTAAATGTCAATTCCAAACGTTTATCATTGAATTATTTGACCTGAATTCTTTTCATATGATTTCCAAAAAATTATTTTTAAAAAAAAAAAAATTTTTATCCCTGAAGTACCTAAATCAAGATGGAAAACAATAAATATTTTATTTGAATGCTTTCAACCATTACAGATTAAGTGTCATATGTAAGATTTATTTGAATTATCGTTTATAATGTTCACCACCAAAACATTTTTAAGATCAATATTATTAAGATCAAATGCAAGCTAGAAAACAAAGCAAAGTACATATATGAGTGGAGTGTTTAGACATCAGAATGACCTCAGTACTGGTAAATTCAACACTCAAACTCATAAGCCGAATCACATAGCTATAAAATACCACTAAATACAAATCATATAAAGACTATAGATGAAAGCTACATTTTTAAAAAATTAATTGCATTATCAATGGGCAGCAATAAAATGACACCTGCTAATACAATAATGAAATGACCTAAAGTTGTTAAAAATAATTTCAATACTTTTTATTAGTCTTATTATTTTAAAACTCATCGTCCTTCATAAATTCCATGTCAAGAAAATAAACCATAAGTCTCATAAATTTACTACACAAATCAATATTTTATTCAAGCGGAAATCACGTAAACTTCGATTTAATTCCATATACCGATAACAAAGATCTTCTTTTTTATATTTTTTTACAATATTATCCTTTTTTCTTTTTTCCTTCTATTTATTCCTACATTAATACATTCTTAGTTCCAGCATAAAATAAAAAAAGTACTTTATATCCTGTCAAAGAAAAATATAAAAATTTCTGAAAAAAAAAACATAAAATTCTGCTTTAACACAAGAAAATATAAGCAATAAGTATCCTTACTTTCTTCAAAATATTCTACGCAAGATAGTAAAAAAAGTCATGAAAATTTGTTTTTATGTCGCGCTTCAATTAAATTTATGGTTAAACGCTTAATAAACAATTTCAAAAAGGTGTTAAGTTTTTAATGATTTTTTTTTTGTAAAAGTAAATTATTTTAAGAATCTTAATCCTTCATAATCTAAACAAACTTTATAACTCCTATTTAAATACACACACACACACACAAGTATTGAAGGAAAAAAAACTTTTTCCTCAATTTTGCAAATAAATCTTTTTGTTTTGTAATTTTCATTCAAGTTGCCACCTATGAACAATATTTTTTGTTTTTAGAAATGATCAATCATTATTATTCAACTGTATATGTGTATGTGCATATGCTGTCATGTCATAATGAAAATACTTTATTATAATATTATATATATGTGTATTTTCCTGAACATATGAACATTTGCATAATAATAAGAAATTGTGTTCTCGAAAATCGCTTTAGAGAAAATTTTGTGTCAAACTGAGCGCATAAAATTATCACTTATTATAATAATATAAACATGATATTTACATACGTATTTTATATATAAATATGCATATAGTCGTTGTATGTGTTCCTTCTTTGAAAATCATGATAATTTAATTTATTGTTTATTATCCAATAAAATTAGTTAGCCGTAATAGACGTGTGACTATTTTAGATATTACATTGTATACGTACACATAATATATGTACATATATGATTTTTATATCTAAGAATAAAAGGAAATTTTACAAAATTGTATTGTACTATCATGTTATTTATTAGTTAACATATAAAAGTACAAATAATTTATGAGTAAAATTAATAATTATTAAATATTCAATCGAAAAAATATGCTTTTGTTATCCTAAATGTATGCAATTTTAATAATTTTAAAATACGTTCTAAGTTATGCAATGTTTTTTGAAATTCGTAATTATTTGCAAAACAAAATTTTCCAACAACGTACACACATTAGTTACGCTCCATTTATACGTGTTCAAACTACTCATAAGCGTATATGCGTAAATTTTAAAATGGAACAGTCTTTTTCCGTCAAATCAAAAATAACATTTTCATCTATCTGATACTCATTTGCTCGATATGGTGTGCTTGTGTTCAGTTTTGGCTAATCACAATTAGTTTCAATATGCAAACGAAGCACAGATATTATTTATTTCAAATATTATTTTAATTTCAAAAGTCTACTTAAAAATTACAAGAATTATTTTTATTTAGCCACGTGAATACTCAGTTTCAGATATTTTAAAGATTTATTTAATTTACAACTATGCTACTTTTAATATTGCATTAAATATTAATTTTAAAATATGCGAATCGTACATTTCGTGGAAACTGTATGTTATTTGTAACTATGTAATTATATGTATTTTTATTTACGTTTTTAATTTTAAGCAAAAATATATTTTACATAGAAATCAAAATCGAACTTACATTTTGATAGCATGATAAAGTTACTCTTAATAAGCAGAAAAACACAATTTTTAATAACCAATTTTTTAATAAACATTTTTTCGATCAATTATAAGAAAATTAAAACATTTTTTCAAGAGTCATGATACAATCTTTTTCACTTATAAATTACTTCATTAATTGAAAGTTTCACTAAAGAAAATTCCTAAAAATTTCTACCTAATTTCAGATAATAATATATTATATCCAATTCAACATAATAATAGCTTAAAATTCTCTATAATTAATTATATAATATTTAATAATGATGTATATATTTTGTACAATAAGGTTTAGATAATAATGCCTAATCTATATAATAATATTTAACCTTATCCAAACTAATCTTTATTATCGAAAACATTATAGTGTCGTTTAATAAAACAAAACAAAAAGTTGAACAGCAAAAAACAAGGAGAAAGAGAGCATCGAAAAATAAGCATTACTTAAACTGACATAATTAATTACCTTATAAGGAATTTCCCTCAACTCTTTCACACAGTCATCCACAGAATTCTCTTCCATTTTGGGGTTTGATTTTTTGTTCTTTCTGCTTCTTCTATACATCTTTTGTCAGTCCCATATTACGATTTTTATAAATTTCTGTTAATTATTTCAACTCATTTTCTTAATATTTTTCTTAAAATCTATTATAAATATATATATATATGTATATATATGTATACGTAGATATAATTGTTTTTCGCTTTTTTCTTTATTCCAAATTTATATTAACTTCGTTCTCTTAATTGTTTATGTATATATACATGTGTGTAATACTTTTTTAAGAACAGGAAAATTTCTTATAAGGAGTTAATAAGTGTATATTTTGTTATAATATCCTTTCACACCAAACAATGGATGTATATATGTATATAAAATGTTATCTCCTATATAATGAAAATATGTAAGTGTAAGAAGAAAATAAAATGATGCCTCATCATGGTGTATGATACAAGAAAATAAGGACCAAACCGGAAGCAAAGGTATAATAAAAAGTATAGCAAATTATTTTGTAATCCTTTCTATATGTTGCATATTCTATCGATATATACACAAAAAATTTCATATATAAAAAATCATATGTGGTCAGCACATAATTGATTGTAAGCTTTTAGTTAACATACATGGAAAAATATAAATTTGGCGCTTAGTTGAGTTTCGTTTTGTGCTACCCGAATTCCCTGAAAAATACAACAATTATCCGGTAAATATAAGAACTCAAACATTAAATTTTGAGCAATTCCACAAATCAGTTCGGTAGATATGGTAAAAAGTATGAAAACAGCCCTTTCGATCTAGGAACCTTTATGTTTCCAAAAAATTTAAAGATTTATTGTTTTAGCACCCCGAATTTAAATATTGAGGTTGAAGAAAATTGGTTAATTATTTTTCTTTATATGCCTAAAATGTAAAGTCGCTCCGCAAAAATATCCAGTTCCTGAAGTATCTCAAAAGTTGATCTATCCATGACATAGCCGGAATAAACTCACTTTAATAATTTCTTTAAAATCGGTTCAGCAAACCTCTGATGACTTTCTACAAATAGTATATTTAAGCGTCCCTACCATGGAGAAGTGCTTTTAGACCGAAAACTCCGATATGCAAAATTTGATGCCATCACATAACCTCCCTTATTCTATGTAATGCGGCCGACATATATACATATAAATATTATTATGACTAGAAATGTATTATGTATTGAGATAATCCTTATTATTTCATAAAATCTAATTACAACATCTCAGCCACAGCTGGTGATGTCTTTTTTCATCTTCATATTGTATTACAATAAATGTTATACAAGTATACTGATTTTAGTTTATACACAATTTGAGTATTGATATATGTATACATATATTGTGAATTCTAAATATTTTAACAATAAAAACTTAAGAAATTTATTAATATTTTCCTTAGAATTTTATATGTATATAATATACACTTGTATATAAATTGTATTATATAGCCTATAGGATTATGATTTTATAAACAAAAGTAGATATTTCTAATATACTTATATAAAAGAACGTCTTTTACAATAAACCATGTTTATAATTTTATATTGTATACTAAATATTTTCAAAATTATTGTATTATATACAATATGTGTACATATTATGTACATGCATATTCAGTGAGTATTTATTATAATCCTTAATTAGAAAATTTCATCATGTATTAATGAAAAATACTGATTTTATTAAAATATGATAACATTTGTATAGGTATACCAATACAATATTTTACATTATAATCGGTTAAAATAGATTTGCAATAATATAGAAGACATACATCTAATCTGTATAATAATGATCCAATAACTATAGTTAAAATAATTGATTGCCTACATTTATTCTATTTTAATGAATGTTATGTGGTAAATATTTTGTGTAAATAACAAAAAATAAAAAAAGACTTAATATTTTTCTCTCGTCAATAAACTTTTGGAAATTGAAAATTAAATACTTTATATTTTATAAAAGGTAGGAGTTTTTCTCTTAATTCTTAAACAATAACGTAGAAAATGTTAGCAGCTGGTGCATTTTCTATTATTTTTAATAATTAAAAAATTACAAAAAAAACTAAGGAATGTTTTTTGGTTTTCCAATTACACAAATTCAAATAAAACAAAATTTTCAATTAGATTTAATTAAATTGTATTTAGGAAAATAATTATTGAATTTACTGGTATCTATCTTGCGAATCGTAATTGTAAAACATTATATAAGAATTCGAAATGAATTTCAAATTTTTTATTTGTTATATTATGTAATTTATTCGTAAAATTTTTGGTAATCAATTACAGTGAATATTTGCAATAATTATTTAGCAACTTATAAATTGAAATATAGGTAGATTAATGTTAAAGTTTACATACAGAAAATATATACATTTCAAAAATTTTAAATTAATTATACAAAAATATTAAATTTATATTTTGTTTTACATATTTTTGAGTTTAATTAAAACATTCTTAATTATTTTACTGTAAACATATAAATTGCAATATGGGTTGTACAGACAGAACTCGGTTTATGAAACTGCTTAGATATTTAAGTGAAGTAATATGGTTTAAAATAAAATTGCATTAAGCTAAATTTTTAAAATTTCAATTAAAAGAAGTTCCTTCAACTTTAGTTTTTTCTAAATTGCTTCAACTAACTTTCCTGTTATTATTAGAGACGAAATTTTTTTTAAGGATGGTAAGGAAATGCTATTGTTTAAGAAAAATTATTATTTATATAAATAACCTTAGTTTATCGTTGTGTTCAACGTTCGATTTTAACTTTCTGTATTCTGTAATTTGAAAAAAAATATTCCAAGAGCAAAATTTTAGAATTTATTTTTTTTTATTTCCAAATTAAATTTACAAAAAAAAAATGGAGAAATTCTATTAAATGGAATTTATTTTTAGTAAACTTTACTTTTTATATTATACAATGGATGCTTCTGAATTGTACGAATAGTTTCCAGTCGAACTTAAATATGAACTCTATGTATTCAATGAATACAGGACCTCTTCTTACATTATTTTTGCGTATACTACGTCTATTTAAAATTTAAAGTAGGACTGAAACCATCTTGATGAAATTTTATATTAATCATATTTTAGGACATATCAGAACTCGGGAGCTGCACCTTTTTTCGGGCTGATTTTACATTTTTGTGAATTAAATAAAAAATAATCAACCAAGTTCCTTAAAATTTAATATTTAAATTCGGGATGTTAAAACAATGAAAAGGAAATGGGGATTTCTTGAAATTTTATATTTGAATTCTGGTTGTTGACAAAACTAACGAGCGGTCTTTTCAAAGAATTTGAATAGCGCAAAAGGAAACACTACTAAGAGGAATGTTTTATGTTTTAACTGAAAGTTTAATAGTGTCTTTAAAATTGAAAAAAATGGTTAAAACGCATTTTCATAATCTTTCTGAAAACTTTAATAATCTAGACAATAAAAATTGCGGTCGATTATGTGCTGACCACATCTGATTTGGTTTTTATATTTTTGCTACAATTTCGGTTTTAATTAATTTTTAATGAAATAAATTTTATTTTCGACGAATATTTCGCTTTATAAAAGTAAAATAATAATAATTCAGTTAACTCGTATATGACAGAAATACAATTTTTTCCCATAAGGAGCTTTTAATAAATTAAAATTTTTAATGTTACAGCTCAACTACTGCTTTTCAGGAAACTTTAAAATTAAGTCGAAATGATTTTTATTTTGAAAATTCTCATTTGTTGCACAAATTTTCAAAGACGAACTTTTATAAAAACTTTTTTACATTAATTTTTTTTTTTTGAAAACTTATTTTGATTACATTTAAATACATTAATATTATTTTAATTCGTTTTTCATAATAACTCAAGTAGTTCAGGGTATTTTTATAATAGTATAAATGTATTTTTGAGTTCTAACTAAAGTTCTTTTGTTATACAAATAAAGGCTTATATAATAACGGTTATACTTAATTCCTCGTTTTTTTAAGCTACATTATTGCTATATATTTCCAGGAAGTTATTTAAAACGAAATTAAAACAGTTTACAAATATTTTTACCAATTTTATTTTCTTTTTCAAAAATGCAATTGAATTTAATGTTTACGTTTTTCTACTTTCTTTTTTCCAGTTTTCAGAGTTACTTGAACGAGATGTTGTGGCAAATAATTCAATGTATTTAAGAGCAATAACCGTATTTGTTCCAACAAATAAAGCTTTCCAGAATTATGGAGGAAGCAATGTTGAAGTTCTTTATCATATGTGTAAGTATAACGCTTTTCTTAGAAGAAAATATTTAGATTAAAATTCTTTAAAATTTTGTTCTAATTTATATTCCGACAAATAGTTTTATCCGTATATGAACGTATTATCGAAGTCTATCTTAAATTTGTCACTCTATTTCTTTTGCGATATAAATAGATATATGCATATATATTTTTTCAAAGGTTAGTTCTGTGTCGAATAAAATCGGATTATCAAAAGGAAATCAGATTACTTAAAATGTTACGTTTCATTTATGGCAGGTATCGCAATAACTTTATTTACTTTGGGTTTGGTAAAAGCACTGATTCAAAAACCTTCTCCCAAAAAACACTCCAAAACTCCAAAAATAATATAATTTATAGTTTAGAAACTATAAAGGCTTTCAAAATAATTTATCAAATAGTTTGTGTATTTAACATCTCGTTTCGCATCTAAATATTTTCATAGAAACAATTTGCTCAAAAATTTTCAAATTTCAAATACTATTCATGCAATCCATGTGATTCTTAAAAGGAAAGCATGGAATTAATTTAATCAAAAGAAAACAATATTTTCGAATAATATTAAGATTTTCATTAAAATATTGTATAAGGTTAGATTAATATTAAAAATTGAAGAATTACCCCGTTTTCTTCTAATTTGTTTCACACTAGAACTGCAAATCTGAAGAAATTACAACTCATTTTTAAAATCATGTATGATTACTTATTTGTGCATAAAATCTTTTATAACTTCCTCAAAATACACAATTATAATTTACTTATAATGCCTAGAATATTATTAAAATGATAATGCCTAGAAATATTATTAAAAGTTCAATAACTCAAATTAATCAACTTTCTAAACGTTTAATTACAAAACAACAAAAATTATTCTGAATTATTAATAAATTCTTTTGCGTCTCAATATTTACTTCAACTTCGTTTAGATAAACTAAAATAAGTAAAAAAAAATTTTTTTCAAAAAACTAAGATCCTCAAAAACATTTTCAAAAACATTATCAAAACGTGCCGTGGCAATCTTAACATCAACAATATTTAATTTTTATCAAAAACTAAATTAAAATTCTTCATGACCTTGCAAAAAATACCAGAAGAAAATAATTTTCTTAAAAAATTTTTGGAATAATCAAAACTATAACTAAAGATTTGTCACGTTTTTAGCACTTTTCCAAAAATTTTTTGAAAAAAAGTGCTTATTAGTTTCACTCTGTCCGTCCGTCCGTCCGTCCGTCCGTCCGTCCGTCCGTCCGTCCGTCCGTCCGTCCGTCCGTCTGTCCGTGTGTCTGTTTACAAAACTTCTACATTCTTAAAGATAGAAAGCTGAAATTTAATACGTACATAGATCTTTACTAGAAACTTATTTTCTTAGAACAAAATTTTTACCTATCTCCCCCCCTCTAGAAGTTATACCCCCCCAAAGCACTAAAAATGGCCTATTTTAACTATTTGTTGCAATGAAACCATAAGCATTTTTGAAATTTTGCAAACGCAGAAGGGCAGTGACTTGCTTCCCCTACCGCGGTATACTATAGTTAAACTTTAGGAAAACAAAATGGCCGTTCAAATTTACCGTTATCTAAAGTCCTTTTTTTCCAAATTTTTCATGTCGTTTTTCTTCTAGACCCCAGACTATAGAAGCTTGAAATTTTAGGAGCTTTTAGACATTAACAAGTAGTTCATTTCGTTAGAAGAAAATTTTTTTCCATCTCCACCCCCTCTCAAGTTATGGCCTCTTGAAATTTGTGAAATATGCATTTTTGACACCTTATATTTCTGAAACCGCAAGTTTTTTCAAATTTCTATAAACGCAAAAAGTTAACAGTAAATTCCATGAAATTAAAAAATATAATTATTTTTCTTAACTCACACAATTAACCCTTAAAATCGAGCACTATGTTAACCCCTGTTTATATTAAATTTTGCTTTATTTCAAAGACTGCATAAATGGTTCATCCTAAATATATGCAATCCTAGAAATAGTTTCGTTTATAAATGAAAATAATTTTAATAGTGTGGTGGATATACATAGACTGTTTTTAAAAGCAGTATTTTCACTTGTTTAAGGGAAAAGTGCTACAATACAAACCATTGGTTTGACCCAACTTTATTTAATTAAATTTTTCTTAATAAAAAACAAGAACTAAAAATTATAATTTAACAATTTTGCTTAGCACAAACAATGAAATTTGAGCAATATTCAATTAACTGATTTAGAAAACATTGGTTTAACTATTTTTCAAAATTGATTTTGTTGTATGACTCCATTATATTACAAAATTAAGACTAAAAGAAACAAGACACTTAAGCTAGCTATCGGGCATCAAAAAAAGTAAGAAAATTTATTATGCGCAATCAGTACAACTTCCTGCCATTTAACTGAATTTATTTTATTATATCCTTTCACTTTTTATAATCTTCAACTTTTCTACTTATTCTTCAACGAAATTTAATGGACCGAATCCAATTTATTTCACAATATACTCGAATATATATAACATTCCCAAGAATATTGATATTTGAAACAATATTAGAGTTGAGGAGTACAGTTTTCAGAGAGCTTTTCTGAATTTATACAATTTACTCTACGTATATATTTTATGCTAAAATATTTTTGAGAAGAAGAAAAACATACGCACATTTAAAATACAAAATACATGCTTCTGTTTTTACCGCTATGAATAGTAAGTTTTTTTTCTACGTTAATAATAACATTAAAGTAAATAGTTCTATATGAGTTTTCGTAAAAACATGTGTGTGCGGTATACGTAATATGTAAATTGTATGTAATCATATCATGACGAATATAAAATTTGATTTACCCAAGATGGAAAAACTTGTTTACCCAAGCAATTTCGTACTATGATGATTATTTTCTGGTGTTTTGTACACATGCATATATACATACAGTGAAGACTTAAGTACATATTATACAAAAGGTAATTTAGGTTTGATAGAAATTTATTTCTCCTCAACATCTATGATTTCTTTTTCTATATAAAAATCCTTTTTTTTTTATTATAGAAATCCCTGATTTAATTTGACTTTTTATATAAAATTCATGCATATATTGATATACATATATCCATTTACAAATAATAGCTGAGAGTGTACAAATGGGATTTCTATATTAGTATTATGTCATTTTTTTTTCGGGAATAATAATAAGAGTTCCTTGGTGTCAATGAAAATTGGTGATGATAAGCAAATAAATAAAAGAGCATAAATTGCGTAAGGTCCTTCCTATAATGTCCTTATATAAATTAAAAATACATCAGATAATTTGTATTTGATTAAACAGAAAAATTAGTTTACTTAAATAGTTTACTTTAATGAGAAAATGAATAAGGAATGAAATTGAAATTCAGAATATTTGAGATAATTTTTTACACATGTTCTAATTAATTACCAGGCCCAAATAATTTTCTTTTTAACGAGAATAGAATTCAGTTTATAGTATAACTTTCATAATATTCAATATCAATTCTAACGATTCTATTTATTCCTTGATTACATAGTTTACCACAAGTTTTATCATTGTTTAAACATTTTCTGATCTATGTAATTAAATTGTTACATGGCAAATACTTGAAGCGCTTCATCATATACTATATATTTGTATGTACTATTCAATTTGACACTACTATCATCATTTGGTTGACAGTAGTGTTTGGTTGGTTTAGTTGGTTTAGTCGCTTGAACGGACAAATAACTGACGATTCGATGATAGTAAGTCACTCAACTAGTGAAATTACTGAATTATATATTTTAACAAACAAATCTCTCTTGTCTCTCATCTTTTCAGGAAAAACAATTCGTTTTTGTTTTGATAATCTTTTCAATTTTATTTTTATCATTTTTTTAGTAAAATTGAAGAGAAGTTCTATAGTTCTTAAAATTAACTGAAAAGACAATCGTAGCAACATCCTAACAAGTAATTTTTAAGTAAACTTATACGAGTACGCTTTAATTTTCGTTATATAATTAATTCTACTTCTCTATCTAAACTTTTATAATAGAATTTTTTATGAAAAAAACATTATGCTTGTATAGTAGTAGAGAAAGCTTAGTTAATCACCTACATTTTATCAATAATGTACGCAAAGCTTATTTGAAATGAACCTTTTGTCATATTGAATGTAATTCAAGTTATAATTTCTTATTTGAGTAATGAAATTAAAATGTTTTAAAAAGCAAATGTACCATAATGTGAACAATAAATTGGAATCTTAAAAAATCCATTGCCTCAACCAATAGTAAACATATCGAGACTTTAAATAATGCTTAAAGTTTTCAATTGTTGCCTATAATATTTTCCATTCCATTTAAAGTTATATACTATTAATATTAGCAGTATAAAATTTCAGAAGTACTTTCAGCTTATCTTAATAGAAAATGATGGTTATAAAAACTTTTGAAATTTTGAAAAGTGCTATAAAAACTTTTAATTTATTCTCGTTATACTGCGTATAACACATAATGCACATAAATTTTAAGTAATTATTTTTAACAAGCTACTTAATATATATTTAAAAATAAATGTTTAAGATAGAAAATTTATTATTATAGGATGACATTTAAAGCCTCTTTTAAATAAATGAATAGATATTTGTGGTTCAATCAAATAAAGAACAATTATACTAAAATTCAACGAGTTTTTTAAAAGAATCTATTATTTTCAATTGTTTTATTTCTATAATGTGTATAATACAAACGTGAAGGTTTATTGGCAAACCAGTATTTTTTATATAAGTACACATATTTTGCGTAAAGAAAGCAATTTTTGTTGTTACCCTAAATTCATAATCATTTTAAACAATTCCATTGAAACTAATTCCATATAGGAAAAACAGAAGAATAATAATAGTTTTTATTTTTTTGAGTGACATTAAATTTAAATTTAATATTTTTCTGCAACATATACATAAATATTGTTTTATAATATCAAAAATTTGAAAATTATTGTTTACCTTCGCTCATATTTTCATTTCCATTTAGTT